TAGAGACATCAAATTTTGAATAACGTAGCCTCCATCCGAATGGGTATATGGAAGCCCAAATTTTTAATTTGTTTTATTATCTATTTCATACTCTGTCAAACATTAAAGAATGTTTGATTAACAAACTCAAAGATTTCAAAGCGAGCAACGGCAACACCGTGGAAAAAAAAAACCCTCTAGCACGCGAGACTGTGTCTTATTAGAAATTCTAAAGACATGCTCTTTTAAATATTTTGTGTTATTGCTGTTGAATTGAATTTTGTGGTTTAAACGCGAAGAACATCATATTTAATAAGGTAACACACAAAACGTTAAAAACGCCGCTCTGGACGTAATATAAAATCTGAATTTGAATCTATTGATTTCTGCTGTGTAAAAAAAAGTAAAATAAATAAAAAATAAATAAAAATCTGAAAGGTCGGTAACTTCCGGAAATTTACTTAGTTTCCTTCACTTCACTTAGTCATTTAAAGGTATATATTTTGGAGGGCCTTTTTAAGAGAAATTAGGCTGGTATTCAGATTGCACATGGGAAAAAGTACTAAAGTGCCCATGCATTTCCCTGGAATTTGAATCCGAGATAAATTACCAATTTTTCAGAAGCTTTTCCTACTTGGTCAGTGATAGCTTTTACTTAGTTTTTAGTAAAATAAATAAACATTGATCGTGTGCTATAAGTGATGCACAAGATACTAAACGCATGTTACTAAGTTCCTTTGCGCAAGTTAATGAGGCGCTGCGTAAATTTGGTAATTTAGAATAAAGTCGAATAGGCAACATTTCTAATTTCATCATTGCCTTTTGCATTACAATTTTTTCATGTCCTCGATTTCTTACAATAATATCTTTCCTTTAGATGCCTAATAGTAGAGTCTGGGAAAGTAAAATGGATCATGGTGGGCACAGATTCGTGAAGTTTAGCAATCGGTAAAAATTCCATGTATTTTTTCCTCTAGTGATATTGGGTATTACGAAACATCTTTTTCGAAGTACTGTTATGCTAGTGCCTCATAATCTGTATCGTTCACAATCAGCATCAAATTCGCGACTTCAGAATTAACAAAAACATGTAGCTTTCATGAAGGTAATTAAGATATGATATGAAAATTAAACATTATGTAGCTTTCATGTTAATATGTAATTCGGCAGAGGAGAGAAATTTTTAAGCAGGTGACATGACATCTATATTATAAAAATATCATACATTTGTGGCAGTTTTGTCTTTTTATTTCTAATTTACATGAAAATTTCACACAGTTTTATGCCGATATACTATATTACAGATGATCTAAGAAAAACTTTCATTAATCATAATCAAAGTAGTAATTTTATCGTAGAAAGGTATAGAATTTGCAGGATGTTCACGTGATAATTTGTGAAAATTTTCGAAGCATCCGAGGCACGGATTTTGCAAAATTTTTCTGATTGAAAATATATGACATTTCGGAGGGGGGATATCTGCGAAGAATAAAGCAATAACACTAATAACTAGTACGTTACTAATTTAGAAGTCAGATAACAAAAATAAGCGTTATATTTGCAAATAATGCTGATTTTTGTTGTTTGACTTCTAAATTAATACTTGTTCAGCGTGTTATTTTATCTTAACTAGTACATTATTAAATAGTCATCATATTACACACTTTTCAATTGAAATTTACATTTTTAAACCAATCAAGCTCGGAAACATATTTAGGGCCTTTTTTTAGAAACAGATTACCCACCCAATTGATCAAGATAAATTAGGTGTTTTCTTTTTACTTCTTTTACAAAATAGAGGAAGTATTGTAATCGCGAAAAATTTCTGGTGTCATATTCTAACGAAAATATACATTTTGACCACTTTCGCATGCATTTGAATGTTTTTTTTTTTTGGCATGACATCTGTTCATACAGACAGAATAAAGGATTCTTTTTTCCAAAATGGATTGTAAAATCGATTGACGTCTGTACGTACGTACGTATGTATGTATCTCGCATAACTCAAACGAGTAGCCACAGAACGTTGAAACGTTGAAATTACGTATATGGGTATATGGGACTGCTATAATATATAGTTGTGCACCGCCCTTTTTGGTTGCAATCGACAGAAATAAACGTATCTATCTATCTATCTATCTATCTATATATTTGCAAAGAAGAAGAAAGTTAAAATTTGCTAATGCTTTAAAGTTCATTTGATACTGTTATTCCAAAGTAAACAAGTAACACCAAGTATGAACAATAATACAATATTAAAGCAGTTAAATTTTACGCAAAAAAACCTTCTGTAATAACTACTAAATAATATAAACTACAGAAACTAAATTGTAAATTTGTAAAGACTAAAAAAAATTTTTAAAACCTGAAAAACATCATATTTTGTTCGCAAACAATCAAAAACATTTTAAAGACAAAGAAATTATACACAAATAATTGCAATACATGGTCAGTTAGCTCAATTCGAGGTTTCACAGAGACTTATCTAGGGAAAAGTGTAAGAAATATCCAATTTAGCTAATACCATAGGCACGTTTCGTCAAACGAAACAATTGAGCCTGAAAGCGGTAAGTCATTGATAAAATTATTAATTTAAATTATCTTATTCTAGCTAGGTCTCAATAGCTTCGCCTCTTTTCCCGACGTGCCTGTAAGTTTAAATTAAAATTGAACTTAAAGAACAAAATAGATAACAAGAAAAACTTGAAACGGATGAAAGAAAAACCTATACTGCTATAGTCTGGGCTGGCAAATGCGCAACTAAAATAAACAGCTTGAAAGCTATTAGTCATAAAAATACATAATTTTAAGGGTAAGCCCTATTAAATCGAAGAATAAAAACTTTGCTAAAATAAAAATGACGACACAAAAACCTACTAGGTCTCTCTTTTGATTTTACTACTTATATATATATATATATACATGTATAACCCCTCAGTTACCGGGCTCAGTGAGCTCAGTTTTTCATTTTTATATGTTAGTAAATTGTGCAGTTGCTGTTTTAAAAATAATTGGATAATGTTGGTCTTATATTAAGGTTAGGGGTTTTATGCCTTTACTTAATCTGCATGCAATAGTAGTAGAATTATCAACAATTTGGAAGCTGTTTAAGTGGCACTAACCCTAACGTAGTCGCCATTTGTTTACGTTTAAAAGTAGAATAGTCGATTAAGTCAGTTGGTGCACCAACTTAAGTATCCTTTTGTTCAGTGAGGCCAGAAGTTAATTTTTGTGCACCATGAATTTTGCCTTTATGCTTGTTGCCTGAGTAGCTTGTTTCGGCCTAGAAACGCTAATTTTAATTCTAAAAATTATTTTGTAAACTTTTTTTTAACAGTATCTGATTTTTTTTTATTTTACAATTTCTTATGAATGCTTTGAGATTAATGTATTTTGGTCTTGCTACGAAATGAGAACTGAATTAATTGAATGAGAAATATATCTCTAATGAAATTCAACGAAATAAGTTTAAATGAAATGCTGCAAAAATGTGTATAATTTAATAGACCGTATAAGGAAGTTATATGGTGTCCAACATCAGTTTTTGTTTTATTAGATAGTCCACTCGCAAGAAAAGAATCAATCGTCACTGAATTATTTATTGACAAGCAACGGAGGATAACTTTATATAATTTTGTAAAACCACTTTTTCGTGTCCAGAAATCCAGCAAAACTGTAGCTAATTCAAAACTTGTTTTGATGCGTCTTTTGAAGTAGAATTACTTTGCAAGGTATTTTTGCAACGTGACGTAACGTAAGTGATATAAAACTTATTTAAATATAAAGTAATCTATCAGTTATAACAAAAACCAAATAATTATAGAAAAAATCTGCAATTTGCGGATTAATTCGGCATTTATCAAAACTTCTGATGCTCGTGATGTCACAGAAAACCTAAAATTCGCGAAAACTATCGCTGCAATTTCTCAGTCATAAAAAGATGCCCTAATTATAATAAGGTGCAACGATCATAAAAATTATCAATTGGATTATTAGAAAATACACTGGTGTAAGAAATTAAGAGAATTTTCATTTTGATCTACGATCTCCCGAACTACTGGACAGATTTTAATAAAATTTGGTGTGAACATAGGTTGATATAATACAAGCGAAATAAACATTCAACAGTTATAATAGACACACATGTTCCGTGTGGAAGCACTCATGGGAGTCTGAAGGTCTGAAACAGCGGTTGCAGAGGACACAAAAGAAATGGGTTAATAGGGGGTGTGGTCCCCTCTTACAGCCAAACAGGCCTCGCAGCGCGATGTCATACTGGAAATTAAGGCAGTTTATCAGTGCTTATGGCAATTGGTTTCACTCATTCAGCAACGCTGTTTTCAGTTCCTGGATTGTTCTCGGAGGGGGTTGCGAGCTGCAGTTGCCCTCCCCCACAGCGTTTTCTGCTGGTTCGGCCTACACACACGTGTACGCTTACGTATTTGCCGTACAAGATTTGCATTTTTATCTAGAAGCAGTGGTTTTTCCTTCAGTTCAGTTCTTTTCATGCAATTCTATAAAATATGCAAATTCTCTTAATTTATTTCGCCAGTGTATATCATTTCTGTGTGCTATAAGTTATATCATTTAGGAAAATTATTAAAAACTGAAATAAAGATATAAATTATTAAGAAATGTATTTGCTGTTCTTAAACCTGTCTTTTCATTAAAGACCTGTAGTTAAGATGAAAGATATGTTAAGTATGGTAAAGATGGCTGTACTGTGATATATGACCATTTTGAAGGCCACTTGGAAAGATGAATTAAAACGCTTACGTTTCGTGTAATGGAAATATTTATGGAAAAGGTAATAAGTGTATGGCATAGCAACGTTACATAAGGAAACTTACATGCCAAAAATTTCGGAAAGATTTCGTTGAAGATATTGGTAATTCTAAAATTCGGATTCAATTCCATGTGAATTTTTCTGCAAGACTATCATTAGTACTTTAGTTTTAAGTGCAGGTAATTTTTATTTTATGTAGCATAAATTCTAATTATTGTTATTCTGCTTTGTATAGGGTTAAATGAAGAACTGCAAAATGTCTTCACATATCACAAGGTAAATAACTTATCTGAATGATTTTCGTTTATTTTCCACTTGCTGTATATGAATATAACTTTTACTGCTTAATCAAATTTTAACACTTAATCGCAGCAGCTTATAGCTACCGGTTTATTAGAAGTTATTGTTTACTATTTTTATTATATTTTATTTTAATTTATTCTTGCGATATTTGCAGCATTTAGCCCACATTGCATTTTTCATTAGTCTGTTAATAAGTTCAACACTTCTTCACTTACCAAATCTGAAATTAGGCTCATATCGGTAACTGCGAATTTTTTTTTTTTTTTTTCGGGGGGATGCAATTTTTGGTTAGTATTTCCTACCTTTTCACCATTGCGATTGGTGATACACAGTATTGAGACAATATCCTTGAAGCTGTTATCCAGTCGCTCGGTATCAAACACGTTAATCTCATTTATTGGAAAATCTCTGACTGATTGGTCTGTCTAATAATGAGATAGCTCTCAACTTATTAGCCAATACAGAATAGACTCTCTGATCCATAACATGCAATACTTGAGATTTAAAATACATTGGCGAAATAAACATTTTTCTAAATTTAAGAATTAATAATCAAGAGCCTTAATCAGAAAATTAACAATAATAGAAATGTTAATACTTACTAAACTGCAAAACTAAAACTCTTCAGCCAGATTATGATATTAAAATTTGAATTTTGGAAATCAATCCTAATTCGAAAGAGAGACTGAGTCAAGAAATCCTTTTCAAGACATCCTTGAACAATTCATTATCCTTTCGGACTTTTTCAAAGGCAACAAAAACTTCAACACAACTCCAAGGCTTATAAAAGTCTATAATTTTTCAAAAATAAAATCAAAAACGATTATAGGAGCAACAAAAAAGTCAAAATTGAAATTCAGAAAAAAAAAAAAAAAAAATGAAACCTTTATTTCAACTATTATAAATTTAACAGCAAGCATTTTTTTCCCAAAGAAATTAAAAAAAAAAAAAAAAAAAAACCCTCTTTAACCAAAATCTAAAGAGCTCGAAACACTAAACAAATATTTAGATAACTACCGTGTAATTTTTTTGTTTTTAAGCTTGACGTGAAGAGCATTAAACAGATTTCATTTACTAATATTATATGGGATTTGATAATGCTTAATGATCCACATCATGACAATGATTTTAATATGAAAAATTTAATTTATTACAGGATTATTACAAATTAATTACAAGAACAGGAAAGGAGACTTAACAATTTATAATTCAATAAAATAAACATAAATGGGGGAACTACAAGATAAGTCAAAAGGAGTTAATCTTTGTTGCAAATTATTATAACAAATAATTGAATTGACAAATATTTATTTGTGACACATCAGTTTAAACTTCAAACGCCCAAACGTTTTTTGTCACATATTACGTATGTGATATATATATATTTTTTGTCTATTTTTTGCATATAAATTTTTCTGTATATATATTGCATTGCATATATATGTATTTTATATCTGTGTATGAGTTTTTTTGCCAAGAAACGTATAGCCAGTCTATAGGCCATTTCCATCCTAATTGTCTGAAACATATGGGATACGATCGACGCGATAGTATGGATAATGAGTATTTAATGTTCATCAGTGTTGGATGCACACCAGCGGCTGAGCAGTAAAAGCCGTTGAACACTGGTCCGGGTTTCGAATCCTACCGAATGGTCTAGCTGCATGGGTGTTTTCGTGATTTTTTTCGTGATTTTTAAGTTAATGTGGATGCGAACCAGTTTGCCTTAAAAAGTTTTCAATTGGGCGTCCCTTCCTTTCTGTGTTATTTGTTAAGTAGCAAAGCACGCAATAAATAAATAAATAATCAGTGTTAGATGGCATGATGGCAATAACTGCACAAAAGCAATATTTTTAGCATATTTAGTAAATTCTTAAAGAATGAGGTAGAGTGAATTCGGGACCAGTTGAGAAACGTATTTTCATCTGTGTCTTTGGACTGGTCATGTCACAAAAGGATCTAACGCAGAACATATATGCAGTGCTTTTGGTCTTTTAAACAGTGCTTTTGGTCTTTGCTTAAGAAACATGGATGGTTAAATTGATCTATCATAGGTAAATAAATATGTGTCCGTTACGTTGTTTAATGTAATCATTTATAACAGAAGGATTCTTTTTTACTCACCTTATGTACGAAAATCTGGATTAAAATACTTTTATAATATTTTGTTAAATAAGTTACCTATAATAAACACAAAAATCTTTTAATTGTAGTTTTGTTTGTCTGTGTTGGGTGTGTTGCCCTAACCATGAAGCCGATTATTATCGGCCAGGAAGGTTGTAGCACACTCGTGTATTACATTACATTACATTACCTACAACAGTTCCTACATCTAAAATTAACTTTCATTCATGTTTTATTATTTTTCGAATTATAAATATGGAAATGTTGTGATCCAGAGAATTCATATTAAGAGTTTACAAATATTCTCTTGGTTATAATAAATAAACAAATAAGACAGTATAGAACCTATGTAGTTAAATTATTTTAACATATTAAATTAGGAAAAGCTGCATTCAGTTAATGAAAGCTTATTGCCGAAAATGAAATTTTATTGTTTTTATTTTCCTGTTTCCTATACTTTTTCTGCACAAACCGTAAAACTTTACAACATGGATGAGCTATCACCATCTTGTAAGAATGCATAGAAAAATAAAGAAGTACTGTAGAGAAACGATGTATAAGATACTGAAAAATGCATAAATTAACGGCTTAGCTGAATGAAATTATACCATTTTCAATGAAGCATTGTGAATAATTTTTTTAACAATGATTATATGCTGCATGAAACTTCTCGATTATTGAAAATAAAGTTTTTCTAAATATTTCCCTAATGTACTAAGCTAATTTAAAATTTATTTATTTAAATATTTTCTTTTTGATAATGTAAAACAACATCGCTGTTGAGATTTTTTTTAAACTTCTCTAAAGAATGTTTTAAAGGCCCGGTGGCGCAGTGGCTAGCGCGTCGCACAGCAGCACCTCAGGTCCCGGGCTCGATCCCCGGGCTGGGCAAGGTTAACTCAGTCTTTCATCTCTGGAGTGGGTGAATAAAAGGAGTACCAAGTTCGCTTGGGGGCTAAACACAGGGAGACCTGCGACAAGCTCACCACTTGTCCAGACTAAAATACACAAGCACCCCGGAGCTGACGGTCTAGAAAGCAGATATCAAGTCACTTTCTAAGGGCTATTTGTGCCGACGAGTTTAATTTACAGTTTTTAAAGAATGTTTTATTCTTCCAGGTTTTAAAAAATATGATAGATATTTTTCAGATGTTCCTAGCTAAATTATTAAAATTATTTAAAATTCATTTAACAAAAATGGCGACGAAAAGTAACATTCTATTATTGTATTCAGAAATCAATAATGACTAACCTTTCCAAAAACGATTTTGGCTTAATTTTCTGATTACTCGGAGATAAATGCATGTTTTGCAAATTAAATAATTTTTCTCAAAATTTTCCCTGAAAAACGTGGTGAATAAGATATCTATTCGGGAGCTGATTTACAAGTATTTATGTTCCACGATGGTTTAAATCGAATAAAATTTGATTTTGTAATAAAAATGTTCATTGGGAAATAAAATAATCTCTATAAGACAGAAACATAAAAGATTTCCATAAATAATTAAGAATTTTCCTGTTTTGTAAGAAATTTTTCAGTGGAGTGTCATTAATGTTGAAAACACTCCAGAAGAGCTTTCATAAAATTAGAAAGTTAAGTTAACTTTAGTATATTAATAATTTTTATTTAATGTTGATTATAAATTAAATTTTATGCTTAAATATAAATGTATTTGAAAAACAGCACTTTGAATATGATCATGAATTACTTCAACTTCTTCGTGAGTATTAGAGTTGTCCAATCCCGCGAATCGCGAAAATTGGAATCTTCTCGTTTTTTTTTTTTTTTTTTTTTTTTTTTTTTTAAATTCAAATTTTTCGAAGCCTCTCCTTGAAGAATATTAAATATTTTAACTGAAGGTCTTTTGCAGATTAAATTTATTGATGTCAAACGTATGCTTTTATTAAAAAAAAAAAAGAATTCAAAAGAGGGAATTTTCACTGTTACTGGATCCCCAGTATCATCTTATAGGAGTTCTAAATGCCATATTGCATCAGTATGTCATCTAGCAAAATCTCTCGGAATTTTCATTAAAGGAAAACGTAATCTAGCTTGAAAAACCATTAAGACAAATGTTGTTATCTGCTGTTTTCTTTGTATGGAATGGATGGATTTGCCTTCACAAAAAAAAAAAAAAAAAAAAAAAAAAAAAAAAAGTGGTTTCATAGGACTGCATTTTATGGAACCGCATTTTTTAATCTTATCAATGCTAGAAGCACTACTAGCATTGGTGAATACGGGAATGCTTAAATAAATGCTCTCTGAATTTATGGTGCATTTTATATTAAAAATTGTTATATAACGTTTATCTATTCCATTATTTTCCTGTAAAGCTTTTTTGAACCCAAATAGTTTGAAAATTAAAGCTCGAAAGTATTTTTTCACTCCTTTTTTGAAGTTATAATTAAATATTCACTTCTAAAACTGTATTCTTTCAGTTTCCTAAATAAAATAATAATAAAGAACATTTTAGAATATGTAAAATAATCAAAATCATGAGATTTTACTTCATCTAGAACTAATAAGCCCATCAGATGGGAAGTGAATTATAGCTAGATCTGAAGTAACTATAAGTTATGATAATCTTTTTTATTAAACAGAAATTAGAACATACATGCACTTACTTGTGTTAACAGTATCAATCACAACTCGTGGTGAATGAACTAAACAAAAAGAGTAAAATTTAAGTTTAATTTGTAGCAGTAGTCAAAGACTACACAATTTAAATATTCCTCGAAACCGGCTCAATAATTCTACCCGAGCGTCAATATCAATTTGTCGGCTGCAAATAACGCAAAGCTGAAAATTACAACTATTGAGCTAGCAGGAATTAAACTTAGAGTGTACGCGAAGGCCAGAAACACGTTCTGCCTAAAGTCCCAAAACTTCAGTTTAAATACTATCTAATTCAGTTACATTCTGATGAGGGAAACAGAAAGGATTAACGGAAAGTTATAGTAAAGATCAAACAAATAAAAACATTGCTAATGATAACCGTAGAAAATAATAAAGAAGGAATGTAGAATATGTCTTTTATTTCCATTTTTGGGAAAATTCTATAACAATTCGAAAATAAATTTTAAAATGCAATGTTATTTCTCTATTAACTGACTTTTTGAACCAAATGAAGAGCTTAATCATAGAGTCAGTGTTCTTTACTTATCTTATTAGAAACCGTTTCTTGCTTCGAGTGTTAACAATGAATTATTCCGAAATCCGAAATACCGAATTGATGGACTCAATTAAGCATCTTAGGCATTGCTTAACATAGTTCAGTTTTTAAAATGTATCATTCTCAAGCTCAAAATGTGATATGCATGAAATTTAATTAAAATATTTTAAAAATGATAAAGATTTTATTTCTTCAGAAAAATCGTGTAAAAAAGGTAATTTAATTTCATCCTTCTAAATGAAATGCATATAAGGAATACAGAAAATTCTAAACTAAAATCGCAAATTAAAGGCATTTTACAGAAGAAGGATTTGAAAGAAATGAATGCCAGGTCTATCAGCGTAATCATTTACAAATTATAATATTCAAATATTTAGGAAGTGTGAAGGTTTGTTGACTTTGATTATGCAGAGAATACTGTGAAATCTGTACTATAAATACTTTAAATTCTTTCTTTTGATGACTAATTAAATCTTATCAGCAGTGAAAAATGCATTATAATTCTACTTTCTTAAGAAAAAGAGAGGGGGTATTACGATATAAACCAGCTTCCTTAATACAATAATAATCAAACTGCTATACGAATCATAAAGCCGCATTCAAAGTTTTGCAGCCTACTATTTCTAACATTTGTGAATATCAGAAAATTATCATTTCCCGAAGAGAAGGTTTGATCATGAAAGAGATCGAACATCTAACTCTCAGAGCATAGCTACTGGTGAGTTTTCAAAGAAAGAAACTAATTTCGTGTGAAAGGTTCTTCATTTCCCAAAATGATAAATTTCTTTTCTAGAAACCATAAAGGAACTGCTATCGGAGAGCTTTTCCATTCTAACCTAATTTCCCCAAACTTTATAATTTGACGAAATTATTTTAATATTTTACATTAAAATAAATATTTGATACATTTTCTCATGCTGGAAGATTAGTAACACCAAACTTGCTGAATTATTTTATCTTAGCTATCGATCTTTTCTGCCTGTGTTCTTTCTAATAACAGAGTTAAGAATTGAAGTCTGAGTGCCATGTATTTAATTCTGATTACATTTAGTAGGCCAGGTACTATTATGAAAGCTCAAGTGATAATTTTGCAGTTCAACAAATGTTAAGTAAAGAATATAACGCATTTGAATATTTTCTAGAAAACATGACTGAATGCAATTCGTTTAATAAATATTAATAACCGTCAGAATAAAAGACCTGTTTAATACAATAAAGTTAACAATAATAACACTGTTATGCAAAATAAAAGTTCAGTGTTTTTCCAGTCTAAAAGCTTCTTCAATAGGATTTTTTGGAGCAGAAGAGACGTGAAAAATGTGCAATGTCTACGACGGGACTCGAATACTGAACCTCTCGAATACGCGTCGAGTATGCTTCTAATTACACCACGAAGGCACTCGGAAAGGAGAGAGAAAATACCTTATGCTATGAAATAATAGCTATAGCATTTGAAGCAAATATTCAAACATTATATCTCTGATTTTCAGATATAATTTTTAAACAATTAGATTTAATTGCCTTTTAGTAACGTACAGTAAAAATAAAACTACAACCTAAGTTTTTTTAAGAGCATAATCATCATACGCGATTTAGGGAAAAAGGACCCATTCTGGCTTTATTTTTTTCCTGAGCATCTTTATTTCAGTTTAAAAAAAGAAATTTAAGATAAAGCTGTTAACATATACAATGTCATATACACAAACCCTTTAATAATATACTTTTACTTATATATATATATATATATATATATATACAAGTACCACATGTCACCCGGGCTTTACGAAGAGTGACGAAGATGGGGCTTCATTTACGGCGATGGAAATAGTTCTTTCGAATTATCAGGTAGAAAGGGATTTTCCTGCCATTTGGGTTCAAGATGAAGTGCGCAAAACTTTGTCTATCCCGAATGAAACTGTGGAACTAATACGGGATATTGTAACGGTTTTTGTAAGAACTAATGTCTGCTTCGTTATCAAATCTGTCGTTTTTCGGAATGAGCCTTTCAAAATTCATCATTCACTTTTGGCCGATTTCATCACCGTTTTCGGAATACTCACAAAAACAGTAAAAAGGAGTTCACTTATATTCTGCTTTAAAGATTCTACGCTGTTCTGAAAAGTTCTACACTTTCTAAAGAGTAAATGAAAACGGAATCATCTAATGGTAAATATTAACGAGAACATAACAATGCCGACGTGAACCTTAGGTGACCTGAATTCAAAATTGAAACATTGTAAAAATATTAATATTTAATTTTTGTAAAAAAACATGTACTAATTCCTTGCTTAGTATGTATCCCGCTTATAGCGGCATACACTGCTAGAACGTTAGCCAAAGACGAGAGTTATGAGCCCAATGTTGTAATATGAGTGTTCTAATATAAATGGTCTGAGCGTGGGGTGGTTTTCTAAATCTTATGTAGATAGTGATCTTCCTCTTGTTTTAAAAGACAAGTGTGCAAAATTTCGTCAGAATCGAAATAAAACTGTAGATTTTTACAAAAGACAAACACACTATGAAAAACACAGACACTGAAAAGATACTGACATCTTCTTTATTTAAATAGAAGAAGCATATAATATTTTATTCTTTACAGTAATGGGCATTCAAATAATCCCGAGAATGATGCGAATAACAACAGTTCCTCTTCATCACAGAATAATCAACCGAATAGTCCGTCTAAGTCATCTCGATGGCAGACCTCTACTGCTCTTCCAAGTACAGATCAGGTAAATATCGTTAGAGAAATTTCTAACAATTTCTGTTTTATAACTAGATAAACTTAAGTTGCTGAAACGTTTGAGCTCATTGCAGAAAGCAAGTTTTAAATGCTAAGAAGGTAACAAATAGTAATTTCTCTGCACTTGAAGCTTATCTTTCCATTTTAAAACAGCCCATTCGTTAAGGTAAGAATTTATTTTTAACTTTTTGAATATATTTTGTTCGACATTAAATGATCAGATGCTATTTTCTAAAGATAAATTAAGTTAAAAATTGTACTCAATATTCCTCTGCGCTTGATAAGACGTAATATTCTTGCATTCACTTCTGCCTAGAATTTATTAAAAATACAGGAATGTTAAAGGTAACTTCAGCAAATAAATTAAAAATAATATTTGAATGCTTACCATGAGACAAATTCAGAATGATAATTAAAAATTAATTAAGCAAAAAATTAATTTAAGTAGCTCATGAAGATACTTTAATCTGTGTTTGTAAAAAATGATAACATTACCTATTTCATCAATAAATTGTTGCTTTTAAGTGTCTTTGTTCATACAATACAGGAAGTTCAGTTATAAGAATGTTCATTAAATTTTGTACGCTTTCGATGGAGGCACTTTTATTTGATATCATATTTTGCAAAGCATTAGCATTATTAGCTGGGTATATTACATGATACTTCACACCAATTTAAAAGGAAAAGGAATGAGAAACTAATAACAATAATTTAGAACTAGTAACGAAAAATGCCTGAAATAAAGTTAAAGTGAATAATCAGAAGAAATATTAAAAATACTTCACGAATGTGTCTCGAAATCGGAGTAGACAAAATTTTATAATAAATTTAATAAATTGCCCATGTGTAGAACAAAGAATTGATTCAAAGTTAGATCAGGTAGATTGTTTATTATAAAAAGCATTCGAGTATTTTTTGCATTATTAATAATTCTTTCATGGGGCATTTTCTAAAGAAGAGCATCTCAGATGTACTCAGGAAGAATACTTGTAACTGTTTAATCACTGATAACAAACCCCAAGACGTACTATTAATGTTCGGAGAACTAATTTTCCACTTCGTCATTTATGAGTAGAAGCGATTTGATGTAATGATTTAGACTTTTGGAAGCAATACATACATTTTTGTCTTCAAAGGTAGTATGTGTCGAAAACTAGAATGCAGATTCGTTAAAGATTTTTTAACAGCTTGTTGAAAGTTTAATTATTTACTACAAAACAGTGATATTTTGATCGAGAAAAGGCTTTGCTTGGTAAAACATTTTCTGTGGATAAGTGGTTAACATTTGCTGTTAGGATTTGGAACTTAACCGAAGCTACTTTTATTTATATTCAATCAGTAAGTTACTAAAGCTGTGCTACAATCCTTTGAATGCATCAGAGGTTAGTGTTCAGTTATGAAGTTAACAGCAGAAAGTGTATTGTATATTATTTTAAAAATAACAATTTCAGAACTGAAAGGAGAATGAGATCTGAAGTTGAATATAAATGTAACACAATTACAAATATTATGTAAATACTATGTATTACTTAGTATAAAATGTATTATTTGTACGCTTCCGTTATACGGCCGTCACAAGAAAACATTGCTAAAATGAGCGATAACGGGTAAAAGTTAACAATAATGTGATCAGCTGAGCCATCCTGATTTTATGAGTGAAACTGAGCCAAATATTTACGAGTTATGGTTTGCAAACGTTTTTAGAACTGAGCAAAACATAATTTGATTGAGGACTTTCTTCATACAGATTATTTGACTAAAAGCAGCTTTTTATAGGAAAAAAAAATCACGATTTGGGAGTTACCAAAAAATGAGGGGGAGGCAGTGAAATTCGATCAGGATAAAGGAATTCTTCATAGGGCTAAGATTTTATAAAAATTTATCATGTAATGATGCTGTGTTTTACCAGTTACGATTCATCAAAATGGTTTTGTAGCCTTAGATCTTGCTAAGAAAAAAAAAGGTAATCTCACACTTGGTTTAAAGGATCGCGTCTAACTTCCTCACATTTGTAAAATTTACTTACTCTTGGTGTCCTAGTGCCATGAACTGACCTCAGTTGAGTTCTGTAATGTGCGAATAAAAATTTCCACGATATAGTCGTCGATTGGAACAATTATATGCGGAAGGCTTGAGCCCATGCCTTGTTAAGTAGATATGAAGTAGTGGAAATGACAGAAAAGTAAAGGTTTGCGAAAATCTTTTTACGAGAAGAAGGGGTAAATTTGGACGTGCACAGGTACAGGTACGAGTGGGTGGTATTCAGAATTTTACCAAAGCTTATATAGGTATACACAGCACTAACTGTGCAGAACACATAATAAGGCGGTCCGAAGGACTCTTCCCCTACAACCAACCACTCGAGACGACTTTTGACTTACCGTGTATGTTGAGTGCCCCCTTGTCACACAGACATTACACACTTACGAATATCCATGCCTTCTCCAGGATTCTAACCCTGCCCATCAGTACGTCCGTCAGAGTCACTAACCACTGTACCGTTTGGACAGCTTATTATTTCTAAACAGCGAGTTTGGGGGAGGCTTATACAGAGAAGCAAAAGAATATTTTCTTGTAGTCGTTCTGAATCGCTCAGTTAAAACTTTACTTGTCGCACGATTAAAAAAAAAATGTCGCAGAAGGTATTACAATGTGTTCTAATTTCTGGGAAGGATACAAAACAGAGAATTTGAATGTTGCAGGATATATTAAGTTAAGCACAACTGCAATTTCGTAGACCCAGACACTGGATGTCATACAAAATGTGGGTATTCACTTCTTTGTATGGAGATGATGTCTGAGAAAAATTTAAATTTGAAGGATAGAACATTCGGGATAAAGTACAAAACGTCTTTACTATAATGTAGGTAGGTTTGAAAAATTATCAAAATCATTGATAATTTTTCAAACCTACCTGCATTGTAGTAAAGAATTGATCTATATCTAAATTGAATCATTTAGATATAGAGCAAATCGCTGATATCCTCGACTTTAATTTGAGCTGTGAAATGATATGGTTGCCTTGAACTTTCCTAGTTTTCTCATACGAACTGTGGATAGAGTTAATTTAGAAAACTTTCCTCAAAGCAGCTTTTTCGAGGGAGAAAATCTTCGAGTGCATTGCCGTTATTATCTTTAAAAAGTACAATTTTTGTTATTAATTTCCCATAGAATCCTTGCAATAAATTTTCGGTTACTCATATAGATTTTAATTTTTATTGTTTCAAATTCAATATGTCGAAAACGAATGCTGGACAATAATGAAAATTCTGTAATTCGTTCTAATATATTTTTATTGAGGTTACTCTCTAAGTCAAGTTAATGGAAAATATTGTAGTTTTTTTAGTTATACATCAAAATAATATTCATGCTCGAGCACGAATGACCGAAGTAATTGCATGAAATGATTACAGCAATTCTTTTTTCCTTTTTTTTAGCCCAAAGGAGCTTCAGCCCAAAAGGGCTATCACTCTGATTACGGCATTTTGCGTTGAATCACTGAAAGCGCTGAATCACTTTTCAAATTGTTGATTATCTCCCTGTATTATATTCAAAGAAATCAAAGAATGAAGAATCTGTATGAATATATGTATGCGTCTAGCATTGTGAAGAAACAACGGTACCTAGAGTCATCTAATTTTAAATAACGCACTCCTCCACCCGAACCTGGCCACCTGGAAGCCCGAATTTGGAATTTGTTTCATTATCTATTTCATATTTTGTAAAACTTTAAAGGACTTTTGATTAATGAATTCAACGATTTCAAAACGAGCAATGGTAATACTATACAGAAAAAAACATTTTTATCTCCAGCGTGCGAGCCTGTCTATCGGAAATTCTAAAGATACGCTGCTTTTACAGTGTCTCACAAAAGTGATGGGACACTTGTGCTTTACAAAAGGAAACTGTAATAAAATAAATTAAAAAAACATGTAAAAATTTTTTGTGGGTGTGTTTCATACTTAAACTTAGTAACAATTATTACATAACATACATTTTCTCAAAATATTAAAATAATAATTTAATAAAAATACAATTGTTTTAGAACGGAGCAAAAAATGGCTCCATAAGTGATGGGACACCATTAGACACTACTACGTACTACAATGAAAAAATTTTTTGGGTTTTTATTTTTACTCAAAAGCAATTGGCAATAATTTATAAAATCGTCTGCAGTCTTTCTCTCCAGTTTGTTTTGGAAATTTTGTGTTTTTTAGCTCTGCGCAGCCATGAATGCTAAACGAAAAGAAACTTTGCCTGAAATTCGAAAATTAGTTATTAATTTGCATATTGAACGTGAAAAATCTATCAGAGAAACTGCTGAAACAGTTAACATGAGTCATTCAACAGTTTTCAATATCATTAAACGATATAAAAAGAATCATATGATTCAGGATAAAAGAAGACCTGGTCGACCATCAAAACTATCCAATGGAATAAAGGGAATTATTGTTCAAAATATTAAAGAAAATCGAAGAATGAGTGCTCCTAAAGTTGCTGCTGATTTACAAGCATTATATGGAATAATTGTTAATCCTGAGACTATTAGAAGAGTAATTCGATCCGCTGGATATCACGGTAGAGCAGCCACGAAAAAATTCTTCGTAAGTGAAAAGAATAGAAAACTCAGACTGGCTTTCGCAAAATCCAACATAAATAAGAACTCTGATTACTGGAATGAAGTTATATTTGCTGATGAGAGTAAATTTAATATATTTGGTTCTGACGGTAGATTCTTGGTGTAGAGAAAACCCAGGAAAGAATTTCGCAAACAGAACTTGGTGCCAACAGTAAAACATGATGGAGGAGGAGTTATGGTATGGGGGTGTATGTCGTCCTCTGGAGTTGGCAATCTTGCTTTTATTGACAGTATAATGGATCAGTACAAGTATATTGACATTTTAAATCAAAATTTGAAATCTTCAGCACGAAAAGTGACCCTTCATAACGATTTTAAATTCTACCAGGACAATGATCCCAAGCACACTGCTTTGAACGTTAGACTCTGGCTGCTGTATAACTATCCTGAAATAATAAAAACACCCCCCACAATCTCCAGACTTAAATCCCATAGAGAATATTTGGCAAGAATTGGAATCAAGAATTCGCAAAACACCATTTCTTCAAAACAACAATTAAAATCATTGCTTCAGGAAGAATGGGGTAAAATCACTCCAGAATCACAAAAAAATTAGTCGAATACATCCCAAGAAGATAAATCACGTTTTAAAAGTAAAAGGAAATCCAACAAAATATTAAAACATTTTTAAGAAGTAAAATTTTTGGATAAATATTTGATGGAAAAGTGAGTGTACCATCACTTATGTGAGCCATTTTTTGCTCCGTTCTAAACAATTGTATTTTTATTAAATTACTATTTTAATATTTTGAGAAAATGTATGTTATGTAATTATTGTTACTAAATTTAAGTATGAAACACACCCACAAAAAATTTTTACATATTTTTTTAATTCATTTTACTACAGTTTCCTTTCGTAAAGCACAAGTGTCCCATCACTTTTGTGAGACACTGTATATATTTTGTGATCTTTCAGATTTTATTAGTCTAAATGGGTGTGAGCTCAGAAGGGATATTAGTCTCAAAACAGCCTTTTACGTTGAATCACTTTGAAAGTCTGAATCACCTTTCAAATTGTCGTCACCAAATATTGTCGCTCAGTATTATATTTAAAGAAATTAAATAATGTATGTGTGTTTCTCGCATTGTGAAAAAGCGACGGTACTTAAGAGTCATCAAATTTTAAACAACATAATCTTCCACCTAAACATGGGCACCCGAATTTTGTATTTAGAATTTGTTTTATTATTTATTTCACACTTTGTAAATTTTTAACAAATTTTTGATTAACAAACTCCCTGATTTCAAAGCGAGCAATGGCAACACAGTACAGGAAATAATAGTAATAATAAAAAACATTTTTATCTTCAGGGCGCGAAACTGTGTATTAAAAATTCTGAAGACATGCTCTTTTTAAATATTTAGTGACACTGCTGTTAAAATGAATTTTATGGTTTAAGAGCGAAGAACATGATATTTAATAAATAAAGGTAACACACAAAACTTTATTTCAACTTTAAGCTTTTGAGCTTAAAGTAAAATCTGAAAGTTTTCAGATTTTGTTTTTAAGATGTGCAAAATTATTAATTTATATATTGTAAATGTATTCATTTCTATATGATCCCTAACAAGAGATCCAACTGGATAAGAATCAAATTTAATGGTGTGGCAAGGAATAACTTTCTTAATTCAGCATTTTAGAAAAAAAAAATATTTAACACATCTTGATCAATAAGCGAAAGGTATGGTATTATTCCGCTCTCGAGAAAAACCAGGTAGAGAGACACTATGTATATTATCGTTTAGAAGACCAAACTCAGCCAAACGTAACGACATCCTGTACGTCAGTGCCGCTTTACACATAACACTCTCATATGCTTTTCGCCCATTGGCTCGAAGAATTAAACCATCCCACACAGATCATATGTTTGGTTCTCCAAGCAGTATTACATTGATGATTTCAGAATTTTCGTGATACATAAAGATAAATAAGAGTTTGCAGAAACATTAGGTATTTTTTGGAAGCAGGAAAGATGAAAAATTAACAAAGCTTTCGGCGGCTACGAGCTCAACGAGAGCGTAAAAAACATTAACAAGCAAAACCTTGTAGATACATTAGGTATTTCGAAAGCAGGCAAGATGAAAAATTAGCAAACGCCTTCACCGGGAATCTAACTGCGGACCCAGAACTGTGGAATACCGGCCCAGTGTGCAAACCACCACACCACGAAGGCACGCCAAAAAGGTGTGAGAAATACCTTATATACTCCCCCTTTTAAAGGGCGACTAGGGTTTTTAGGGGACACCACGAAGGCGGGAGAAATACCTAATATGTTAATATAATGTTATATAATGTTAATATATGTTTTTTCAGAAAACATAAATTCTTTGAAAAAAATCGGGACAGAGAGCTCTTGACCTTAAAAGATAGTAACTCAGATAGATAATAAGAAATAAAATATAATATATGTGTAAAATGATTCCAGGCTTTCTTAAAGATTTTACTGAAAAGGAGAGTTTATTTTAAACGTCGGAATACATTTAATCTTTCTTGGTTGATATAAACTTCAATTACTTATTGTTGCTTACAATTTATTGCATCTCGCCTGCTTTATCGTAATAAATTACTTAACAGTTCACTTTTTTATTTTTCTAAGCTTAATTAGTTTTGTAAAACAACATATATATATATCTAATACGAAGCACTAAAAAAGAAAGCGTATTTAAACCGTAATCTATTGAGAAACATTACTATTTAGAATCCTTTCAGCTACGAAATGTTTAGCCGCTCTTCGATAATAATGAGATCCGCTCTGCAGCTTAAATTATTACTCGCTTATCTTTATACTTATGTTTCTTTGTTAGCTGTCAACTCAATCTGAGCGCAAAGTAAATGTAATTTACAGCCAATCAGGTTTCCCATTTTCTAGGCTTAGAAATTATTTACTTAACTCAGAAATCTTTCCCCCTCTCCCCATAATAATCATCTCTGATGACATATCTGGTCTTCTTTCAACCAGGTCTAACATTAATTATCTGGTCTTCCCTGTACCCCAAAATTTCTTCTTTTTACTTCCTTGTACGAAGTAAAGGAAGTATCGTAATCACGAGAAATTTCGGCTATCATATTTTAAAGAAAATATCCATTTCAACCGTTCTTGAAACCATTTGAATGATGTTTTTGCTTGACATACGTACGGACAGAATAAAGGACTGTTTTGGCAAGAAAGGATTGTATAATGGATTTAAAATGGATTCAAAAAAGTTTTTTCTTAACGTCTGTATGTAGTATATATGTATGTATCTCGCGTAGCTCACGGGTAGCCGTAGAACGTTGAAATTTTGTACATGGAACTGCCATAAAATGTAGCTGAAGCCTCCCGTTTTCGATGCAATCAGCTGCACCAATCATATATATATATATATATATATATATATCTATATATATATATGTATTCTATTCCCACTCTTTTCCCTGGCTTAATTATTCTCATATGTAGGTAAATTTTTTTGCTTTAAAAGTTATTGAATTATGTGGTTTTTATGCTTCGGTTCAGGTTTTTATGCCTTTAGTTGTTCTGCCTTGCAATAGCTGTAGAATTATCAGCAATTTAAAAGTCTAAGTGGCGAGTTAAGCCTAAAGAACCGTCATTTGTTTACATTTGAAACTCAAAGGCAGCTCAGTAGAATAGTGCATTCAGTTTTTCCACCTTCAATGTCTTTTTGCAGAGTGGGACCAAAGTAAACTTTCAGTTTTGTGCACCGAAAAATCTGCCTTCTTGCCCGCTGGACGAATTACTTGTTTTTGCGTAGAAACTGTAATTTTAATTGTTTAAAAAAAAATGTTTTAACTGTATTTGGTTTTTTATGTTTTTCTATGTCTTTCAATTTTTAATACAGATATTTTGAGTTTTTATGTATTTTTGCCTTGTGTCCAACAATAATACTCAGTATATGTGCACATAACTCTGTCACAATACTGTTCTAAGATACTATAGTAAGATAAGACAAAATAATATTCTAGGACACTCGGATTTGCTAAATTTAGCTAAATTTAGAGCTGGCACCTTTATGGCACTCACTATTATGAAACAGTCCAAGTCGAGATTCATAGTCAGCGATAAGTACAATTTCACCCTACCGTGTGACTTAGTCACAGAAGCGATATAAATAACAAAAATAACAGTAGCATAGTTATAAATAAAAGTAGTGTTTGATTATAGTTCTAAATATCACACATCACCTTTAAGTACTGTTTTGATATCACACATAACCTTTAAGTACTGTCATAGCAGTACTTAAAGGTGATGTGTGTGATATCAAAGCAGTACTTAAAGGTGATGTGTGATATCAAGATACATAAAATTTAGATCAAGGCTATTTTAATACAAAATTGTATTTTTTTATAAAGACTCTTTATGAGTGTTTGATTATGTATCAAGAAAGCTTTATGGGAAAATGAAAAATATTTCCTTTATTCATTTATTCGCTTTGGTCTGTTTTTCAGAATGGCCGGACCATTCCTCGATTCATCTTTGATCCAGACAGCAGTCTTGTTTTTTATTGGACAGTAAGTAATTATAACTTAATTATTATTTGCCTTACTGCTTAATTTTGGATTTTGAGACGGGCATGCATTTTTTTAAAATAAGTCATTTAAAGTACGGCATTCTAAATACCAAGAACTTGAGAAATTTTCCATAATTTTTGACAGAATAAAATCAAGTCACTCAGTATTTTGATGAAGTTATTTGATTATTTCCGTATATGCTATATAAATGCAGGGATATGGAGGACATATGTACCAAAATGTTTTCTTTATATTTTTGATGATGAACAAGCATCAAAAATATAAAGTGATGCTTGTTCATCATCAAATGTTGATGATGAACAAGCATCACTATAATCACTACTACGACTCGTCAAGTTATTGCTGAACTAGGATTTATTTATTTACATTAGAATGAAAAGAAAAGTAAAAAGAATAATCGTCAAAACATTTTCATATGTCTGTCCTCACTATGGTACATCTCTCGTCTGTCCGAGCGCTCATTTAGGTGACGTTTTTAACATAACCTTATTCAGTTTGTTCCGTTCCTACATTTATATAAAATAGGATTATTAAAATAGGTAACAAATTTTAGAGAATATTTCTAAAAGATATATATAGGTTTGTCGTGACTTTCCTCCCCCAGTGTAACATGACATAGTTTCGTCCATTAAATTATATGCAAAAGATATTCTGTCTAGCATTAAAAACAGTTATTTATTTATTTTTGTATTTTGCGTTCTTTCTCGATAAAAATTACTGTTATATTCTGTGAGAATAATCACTATTATTAAATACTAATATTCAGTGTATTATTTAATAAGCAAATATGTTACTATTTAAAGTATTAAGAAAATGCTTTATTTTTTGAAATTTTAAGAAATTGTATTTAAATATATAATACAGGAAATATATGATGGCAATCTCAATTCAATTTTAGTTATTATTATTATTATTATTATTTTTTCATTATAGGCAGCAGTTGCATTAGCGACTCTCTACAACTCATGGATGGTTGCACTTCGCATAGCATTTCCAGAAATACGGCAAGAGGTTAGAATTCAGATTATATACTAGTTATAATGCAAAATACATAACTAATAAAGTGTGCCATGTGATTTGTATCTTCCATGTAGCATGGTTACCGCCAAACTGTTGTATTCATTTTTTTCTTATTACAATACTAAAGAACAAGGTACGTAATTTTGTGACATAATTAATGATAAGCATAATTTCAAGAAACGAAACATGTCAATAGTAAAAGTAGAGATTCATGATTTATTTATTAAATCAACTTGATTAAGTCCCCGGACGAAGGAAAATGAGAAAAAAATTATTATCATAGATCAATCGCAGAAAATGCAATATCCATTAAAAATGAAAATCAATATATGCAATCTGAGCTTTCCGATTTGCATCTAAAGCTCTCGTCGGTTTTTATATGCTGGCCATTAAGACTGTTACGAGGAATATCAGTGTATTTTGCCATTCTTCTACTTTACATTTCTGCCCAGTTTGAGGCGAAAATGTCCTGTGTGCTGCATGTCTGCTGAGAGTTTCTAAGCAAATTTGATGGGATTTAAGACCATAGAATTTTCAGGCCACGTTGTGAGGCTAGTTTCTCATTCTTCCCAAGTCGCAAATATTACCATCTGTGTGGGCAAACATTGCCGTACATGTACTTAATGTCGCGAATTCATTGCTCTGTGTTAAAAACGTTATGAATCCTTTCAGTAATCATAACAATACATACCGACCATAGTGATAAATTTCCTAGATGTATCATTGGCGTCAACATATTTCTTTCTGGCTATATCATTTCATGCCCAGAATTTCTATTAACTCTGAACCAAGATTCATCTGAGAACCATCAGCATGGACAATTTTTTATGGCTCTATGAAGATGTTCCTATACTGTTATAATCTGGCTTATGGATATCGCAATGATAGCAAATGCATATAACTAGTTTCTGCGCATAACATCCAACATAATCGAACGAAGAATTTCGGGTCAAGGTACCAGCACATATGTAGGTGCCTGTAGTACTTTTTTCCCATTGGTGAGCATTTAGACGACTTGGTCACTACTTAGGCCGGAAGTGGGGGCCACTTTATTGTGGAAGCGTTTAATAGGTGGGTCACCGTTACCTCTCATGAAGGGACGGACAGTTACAGCCATACCTTCTTTGGGATTCAAACCCGGGCCCTTCGGTATCGCAGTAGGCTCCTCTAAGCACTATACCGTCCGGGCGGCCGTATAGAACTTGCAGCATGTGAAGTTATATATGCATGTGATATTTGCTATAGATCGCCATTGGAAATGATGAAGCTTGGCATCAAAATCCGGACATGACTGAGTGGCTTACAGCAGAAATGATTACACCGAAAGATTTCATTTTTTAAAACTCCTTACCTTTATTCACTTAACATGGCAGATCATACGGGGAAAATGGGATTATTCTTTTAGATTCTCTAAGATTGTATATGCGATAGTAATTTAGACTAAATACGATTAACTTTAAATTTACTCCGCCATACTACTCAAACAAAGAATGACAGAGGGGAAAAGCGGCAGGCGAAGAAAAGCAATCTGATCAAAAATGGCGCGAACTGTACATTTAATAGCAGCGATTACGTAACATGCCAAAATATTCTCGATAGTACTGGTCTAGGGGGATGATCCTGAAATTGCGGAAAATTAATTAGAAGTTGCCTGTAGAATGAGAAGAAGAGCAAAGCCATCATATTTTTTATATTTTACATGCAAATGTAGCGTTCTGGGTTCTTTCCGCTTAAGGAGAAACATATTGATCATCTTTTACTGTTGTGCTCTTTCTGTAACTTTTACATGCTTGCACGACCACTGCCAAGTATATATACAATGAGCTATTCCTACGAGTTGAGCAGTTTTCTTCAATCACGAAATGTTTGAGATGTACATTGCTATCAAAATTTTTAGCTACATCTTTCCCCAGTTTGAAGCATCTACCTGCTGCTTCCATGTTCGTACTCACTCAAATGATGTCAGGCAGATATTACGAAACTAATATGCATTGTAACTGGTAATCATTCACCATGAAAATATATTGCACAGTCTCCAAAAACTTGAATGAAAGTTTTATGGTACCATTTCACTCTGCTGTTTCAGAAGGAAGTATTCTGTAAAAAGAGATGAAATGGCAAAAATAACAAGCAGTTTGGTAAATAGATGAACAGTATACAGTAAATTTTAGCGCAATAAGAATGACTGAAGACGAATTTTTCTTTAACATACCAGAAAAATTAGATTCAAATTTTATCTTCTTTTATGTCTCGGGTAAACACGTGACGATCAAAGTTTCATTAAACCAGCTTGAGGAGCGGACACAGTGCTTTCACTGGGACCATCAACATCCACTTTCTTAAATTTTATAAGGGAAAAATGGGTACCGAAATAGGCTCCCCTAACCACTAAACCGTCTGGGCGGCAAATTTGTGAATATATATGTATATATATTTAATAATATAAACATGCAAATCAACTAACTTAGAAGCTTGAAATATAAAAGTCAAATTCGACTGATGAACAGTAACCATTAAAAATGCTATTAAAATTACCTGAACATATGTATGATTCATTATAAAGTTGTACAAATGAAATAAAAATGTTCGAAAAGTTTTACAATCGAAATGAAAAGTAAAACTACTTCTCGAGAGGACTTTCGGCTCTTCAGTATTTTAACTGCTCTCATGCCGCAAAGACACATAACAAACACCTATGCCTTTTACAGGATTCGAACCTCTACCCATCACTGGCCCAGCTGTAACCCCACCACCTTGCCAAAAGGGAAGTATTTTTTCAAAAGTAAAAGGAAGGAGCAAATTGAAAATAAACCTAATGGACAATAAAAACACCCATACATCTTATCAGAAAGGTGTCATCTATATGTTATTCTATTAGGTGCGTTTTTGATTGCTCCAGTTCACTCACAAAAATAATAGAAATTTTTTAGTAAATTACTAAATAGCCAAAAAACACCAAGCAAGCAGATGAAACGACTCCTGAACAGTTCTAGAGTGATTGTGAAAGGTAATTGTCAGTTTAATTTCCCTACTTTTTATTTTCTTTACAGATGAAACAAATATCAAATTGAAGCGGAAAACAAAAATTAAGTCCAAAAGAAAAAAAAAAGTTTAATTTGTGTAATTTATGAAAATATAATTCTTCGAAAATATATTGCTAATTTATTTTATTGTAAATTTTAGTTTGGGGAAATAAATGAACACAAAATATAATTTTTAAAATCTGTACTCTTTTACAGAATGGACCATTTTATTTAACTTACGTCGATATGCTGAGCGACTTGATCTATCTGCTCGATATATTAATGCAATTACGCACTGCCTATTTACAGGATGGAATTCCTGTAAGTATTAATCTATTTTTGTTTTTCTTGCTTCAGAAAACTTCCATGGTTACTCACTAATTATATATTATAAAATTAAAAAAAAAAGCTACTAGTCTACTGCAGTCTAGAAGTCTGCTGTTGCACTCAGTCCTGCTAACTTTATTATTAAGCACAATTTTTTTCGCACTTACGGCATATGCAACTCAACAGCAAAAAATTTAAAAACAACATAGCTGCATAAGTTTAATATTTCCGTTGAAATATTAGGGGTGTTGGCATATGTTTTTCTATTTTTTTTCGGTCTTTTCTCAGTTAATCATATCAATATTGAGTTTTCTTAGTAAGATGGCTTGCAAAACTCTTTTTTTTTTTTTTTTTTTTTTAGTGTAACTTTTCATTACTAACGTTTTGTGTGTTACCTTTGTTTATTAGATATTACGTTCTTCGCACTTACGTACTTCACAGAAAATTCATAAAGTATTTAAAGACATCATCTCTTTAGAATATGTGACAGACAATCTCGTGCACTGGAGGCAAAAATATTTTATTAGCGTTGCCACTGCTAGCTTTCAAATCGGGGAGTTTGTTAATCAAAAATTCATTAAAGATATACATTCACAAAATGGGAAACATAAAATTCGAAATTCAAAATTCGGTCTCCCAGGTGCACATATTCGGGTGGAGGACAACGTTTTTCAGAATTTTAACAATTAGTTAAATTAAACTATGCACTTTATAAATATGACTTCTTTTTTTCAGTTTTTCTAAAACCTATATAAGTGTAAATCCTATTTATAAAATGAACACTTCGTTTTTGAAAGCCTTAAAATTTTTATATTGTTTGCTTAAAATACTTTCCAATTAGATTAATGAATATCATACAGGATCAAAGAAGGAAGCCTAAATATTTATCCTAGCTATATATGCATTTTCGACTTCAAAGCATTTCCAAACGAATTGGAGAATTTTGAAAGAACAATTTTAACAACTGGAGTGGGGTCTGTGGAATAACATTAAAATTTTTTATATGATTCCGATGCGTCAAGAAATCTTATTAAATATTCATTGTGTTCTAAGTAAAAGATATTGAATACTTTTAATTTCGAATTTTATGATATTTGAGAAACTACACTGCTGGCCATTAAAATCGCAACACCAGAAAGGAATGATCTGATGAATGTCAAATTCATATGAAAGGAAGAAGAGGTTGGGATATGAAAATGATTAGTATTTCACCCCATTTAGACGACGCAGGAGGGAGAACGACATCTGAAGCACTGCATAAAAGAAAAGTTATATAGTGGATTTCTCATTCGGAAAGCGCTTTGTAAGGTCGGAGTTTGTTCAGATTATCGTGTTATGTCTCGAATAATAAAAAGAAATGCTTACTAGCAAGTGTCGAAATGCGATAGAGGCAGGATCGTTGCCTATCGAGAGTGTGGATTATCATTCCGTGATATCGCCCGTCGGACTGGTCAACATCCAACTACTGTCATGCGAATATGGAATCAATGGGTTGCTGAGGGTCATATTGAACGACATGCAGGATCTCAACGCCCTCCTATGACTAACGCCAGAAAGGACAGAAATATCGTGAGGTCAGCCCTGCAAAACCTTACAACCATATCACGGATCATTAGTCAGGAAATGGGCATGTCTGCAGCACGCCTAGTATCCGCTCGTACGGTGAGTTGGCCTTTGCAGTCGCGTGGACTATCAACACGATGACCATTACTTCGGCTTCCCTTGACAATGTAGCATAGAAAGAGACGGCGACTCTGGTGCGCCGAATGACAGACGTGGATATAGAAGTGGCCCAACGTCGTCTTCGTGTAGCATTCTTGTGCAGTATTCTGATGGCTGTATACGTGTTTGGAGACTCCGAGGAGAGCGCACGTCACCTGCTTGCATTCGATATCGGGATAGAGGCCCTGCACTGCACTTGGTGCAAAGGTTTGGGCAGCTATTGGGTGCATGATACGCACATCTCTAATTCGGATCGACGGTAATTTGAACGCAGATCGGTACATTTCTGACATCTTACGTCCAGTGGTTGTGCCCTATCTTCGAGGCCTGCGAAACGCCATTTTCCAACAAGATATTGTAAGACCACATGTTGCACGCCATGTTCTGAACTTCCTTGATATACAGGATATTTGATCGCTGCCCTGGCCTTCACGGTCTCCAGATCTGTCACCCATTCAAAACATTTGGTCATAGGTTGCTGAGAGACTGGCCCGCCGCCTCTCTCCAGCTAATACGGTTGATGAAGTGTGACCTAGACTTGAAGCAGCATGGAATGAGTTGCCCGTTTCTGCCATCCAGTTCGACTCCATGTCTAATCACGTAAGGGCCGTTTTAGATGCCAAGAGTGGCGGCTGTTTCTACTAGTTTCTTCGCACCTCTGTAAACACCCAAACTGCTTACAAATGTAATCATTTTATCTTCATGCCATACTGTTTACGAACAAAAAATATCTTTTTGTATTTGCATTCTATTATGGAGTTGCAATATAATGGCTAGCAGTGTATTTAATGACTTAGATTACTTTTAAATGTCTGTCGCTGACTGAAATTTTATTTTACACCAGTCAGCCAGAAGCAGAAAGTATTATGAAATACTAATTGCTAATTATTAGTTCCATAATTTTAAAGTAGGACTTGATGCTATACTGCAGCTGGTCTTATAGACCAGTTTCAAATTTTGAGTTTAAAAGTAAGAATTTTGAACTATCTGCAATTTATTGAAACCTACGTATATATAGCTGGAGAGAAAAGAGGGAGAAAAAGGAAGGAAATACTGTAATAAGAAAATAATAATAAATAAATATACGTATTTATTAATAAATAATTATAAAATAAATTATAATTATATGAGACTATTATTTTATATTGTAGAGTCTGACCTTCTTGTGAAGCCAAAACTAATTTGAGATTCAAGCTGAAGTTAAGCGACTTATCGCTATGTTCATTGCGAAGACAGAGAATTGTAAAAGATCCTTTTATTAAAACTCAGAAATTTAACAGAAGGGAAGTCTTGTGTGTACAAATCCAGCCAGTGTTTATGGCGCAACTCAAAAGTAATGAATTCAAATTGGAACAAAATTAAGTGGCAAGTTAGCCAAAGACTACACAGAATGAATACACGGAAGTAAGCTCAAACCTAAGTCAACGTGGCAAGCACTGATGGCAAGAATAGCACAACGCCACAGACAGACAGCTATCGAAGAGATTTAATTAGTAACGTGGCCTTCAGCAGACGGAACGCGCTCTGATTCAACAATCTAAAACCTTCCTTTAAATACTATCTCTTTCTATCTCATTCGAATACACGCGAACTAAATTTTGCATTCTTTCAGGAAAACGGAAAGGAAGAATTGACAATAAAGGTATTAAACATAAAATAACTGTTTAGAAAAATAAATAAATCCAATTACGTACCTCTTTTTGAGATACTATGTAATCAGAATTTAATTTTGAATGTCCTACTTGTATAGAATGTGAGGCAGAAATTTTCAAGTATAAGAATTTGTAAATAAAATTTCATTTGTAAATAAAATTTCACGTATAATATTACAGCAATACGCATGTCAAAATTTTTCAAGCTTAGAAGCTTATTTACGAATTTCCGGTAAGACGGACAGGCAAAAACAGCATGAATTTCCTTTTAACATAGGTACAGGAATTAAAAGGAAAAACAAATCATGTCTTCAAAGTAAAAAAAAAAAAAGAGTTTGATAGGATTTATGATTTAGTTGATATTGATTAGTGCTTTCGCAATCTAATGTTTTTTTTTTTTTTTTTTTTTTTTGAAGAGTGTAAAGGTGGTGGAATTTCTATTGTTGCAAACAGTCTGTGTTTTCTGTGAAGGTTTTGCAAGATTCTTTTTTAATTTTCTAAGAATCCATAATTGAACATTACATGTGCATAGTTCCTTAACCCAGATTTTTTTAACATACTTAACATATTCTCTAACATAACTAGTTTCTCTATCAATGAAGATGGATAAAAAAAAATCATTTGGAAACATTTGCGTGGAACAAACATGATAGAATAATTCAAACGTTTTATTTTTGTATAGCATTAAAATATTTTAGTATGAATGATATTGCACTTTGAACTTAATTCTTTTTTAATTTTCTAAGAATCCATAATTGAACATTACATGTGCATAGTTCCTTAACCCAGATTTTTTTAACATACTTAACATATTCTCTAACATAACTAGTTTCTCTATCAATGAAGATGGATAAAAAAAATCATTTGGAAACATTTGCGTGGAACAAACATGATAGAATAATTCAAACGTTTTATTTTTGTATAGCATTAAAATATTTTAGTATGAATGATATTGCACTTTGAACTTAATTTTTTTATGAATAGTCTTGACAAACTGAAATGTTAAAGGCACAAATATGGAAAACACAATCTTTCACAGAAATAAAACCAATAATATACGTAAGAGAAGTTTAAACATTTTTGTAACGATTTTTGATTTTCTCCTTGAATTTAAATATTAATTTTAAAATATAAACGTGACTGGAGTCAAATTGGAATAAGATTTAATTATCGAATGCAGCATTAAAATTTTTCTTTTCTTTAAAATGTCTCTGAAAAATAAACAATGGATGGAAGACTGTATTTCTGCTCTGTCCGAAGAGAAATACTTAAATAATATTCAATTATTAAAAAATATGTGAAAAGTAAGGTTTTAATATTTCTACACTACTATGAAGAGTAGAAACATAATTACGATCTCAGTGACATAATTAATATGAAAAGAAAGAAAGGTCAGAGTTTGCATCGGACTGGGAAAAAGGCAAAAAATACATACCCAACAAAGGTACGTACAGCTGTTATTAAATCTAAAGTCGCATCTCATGTTTTAAAGGAAAATCCAACACCCGAAAAAACTAGCGCAAAATCTTTAAATATCTTTATAGGAACTGTGAACAAAATTATAAAATCTGACTTAAAGCTAATGAAATAAAATAAATAAAAATAAATGATGTTCACCGC